CACCAACCCAACGATGGTGGCCACCAACTCAATGATGGTGGTCTTCAACTCAACGATGGTGGCCACCAACCCAACGATGGTGGCCACCAACTCAATGATGGTGGTCCTCAACTCAAAGATGGTGGTCACCAACCCAACGATGGTGGCCACCAACCCAATGATGGTGGCCACCAACTCAGTGATGGTGGTCCTCAACTCAACGATGGTGGCCACCAACCCAACGATGGTGACCACCAACTCAATGATGGTGGTCCTCAACTCAAAGATGGTGGCCACCAACTCCAAGATGGTGGCCACCAACCCAACTGCTCAAGGTGCTTTTTTTGGGTGTTTCTCGTGATTTTTCTCCTGGACCCGAGCAGGTCCCACGTTTCTCCCTCAGCTTCTCCGCGCCCGGAGGTTCCTCCGTGGATTTTCCCCAATTTCCACTCGTGGTCCTCACGCTCGGCGCCGTTTCGGCAAAATCGCCAAATTCACATTTTTATCCTCATTTCTGCTTTTGTTTTTTTCGCCGGGACTCGCGTTCGCTTCGGATTTGCCGAAAAAAACCCCAAAATGAAAACCAAAAAAACCCAAAAAACCCAAATAAAAATAAAAATAAAAAGCGAAGCTGCTTTAAAAAATAAAAAATAAATATTTGTGTCATTGCCTGAATTTTGGAATTTTTTTTCCCACAAAAAATGTAATTTTGGGAAATTTTGGGTGTGGGGAAAATGGGGGGAGGATTTGTTTGATGCAAATAGTTTTTGGAGGTGTCACTTTGGGAGTTCGTCCCCAGCTGAAAGGATGGAAATGAATGAAATAAAATGAGATCAAATGAAATGAAATAAAGTGAAATAAAATAAAATAAAATAAAATAAAACCCCAATTTCGATGGGTTAAACCCCAATTTTTGACGGGTTAAACCCCAATTTTTGACGCATTAAACCCCAATTTTTGACGCATTAAACCCCAATTTTTGACGCATTAAACCCCAATTTTTGATGGGTTGAACCCCCAAGTTTT